GTATTTTAATTGAATTGAAACAATTCTTTTATAAGCCAAATCGCTGCATCAACAGAAAAACTAAAAGTTTTCAAGGATAAGAAGGTGTTTAGTTTTTGTAATAATGTAGCGTCTCGTTCGCAAGCGACCTCGGCTTAATTGAACCATGCATTATACCTCACTATTGTATCACAACACCAAGCCTAATTACGCCAAGGTCACTTGCAGTCGAGGCATAACATTGTTATGATATCAATACAAAACCTGACTACTTTTCAAAGTTGGGAAGTTAGTGAAGCCAGAAAGCAGACCATCACAGCGTTTCAAAATACAACTATGTTATTAAGAAGCCAAGGCTGCAATGCAGTCGAGGTAGTCGTATGTGCATGAATACAGAACGAGTATATCAAATAGTAGAAGTAGAACCGAATATCGCCGATGCAGCTACGCTGCCATGTCAATGGCTTAAGTATTTAAAATGTAGTAAGCAAAGGTTTCTTTTTGCAGCATTTGATGTCAATCAGATGCCGTGCTGCCGAGGCTGTAGAATATATTTCATTCCAAAAGCAGATACTTTTAGAATTTCCAAATACGATTATGTTACTAAGAAGACGAAGTGGTGTTTGCATTAATAGAGAACGAGACATTATCACATATTTCTAATTCCAATGTGTTACTAGTCGTTGAGGCAATGGATTATGTTTGATTTTACAATCAATATAAGCACATCATAAACGCATAAATGTTTCTAAAAAGGCTGCCATGTTGCTAAGAATCTGTTATTAAGAAACTGATGGATCAGAACTTACTGAATGCTACAAAGCAAAAATTCCCAAAATCTCCATATGACCTATATTTGTCACTTAAATTCGGAATAACTCAAGAACTAAAACAGATACAGAAAAGTGGCAAGGATCAAAATAGTTAAGAATGAACCCATAAAAACATATCACAATCAATCAATTCTAGCTGTGATAATTTTCTAGGTACTAAATAATTACTGCTAAAATATTAAGAAAGGCGATTTTTTTATAATAATTATATCAAAACAATATCCATAACCACCTCAAATCTAATTCTTACATTTTCCGCGATAGAAAGCAAAAAGCCACAAAATCTTCATATGGGATATATTTGTCACTGAAATCTAAAATAAGTCAAGAACTAAAGCAATTAAAGATAAGTGGCATGGATGAAAATGGTTCGCTGTGATAATTTTCTAGGTACTAGGTACTAAACTAAATTAAAAATTAATATCGATAGAAAAATACGGTTTATATGAAAAATATCTGTAATATATCAAATAACATAAATCATGACCACCTCAACCCTATCTCTTGCCATATTATAACAACGATACAACATACCCCAAAATCTTAAAAGGAAAATTAAATGCAATAAAGAATCTTATGTTCACGTTTGGATTTATTATACAGGGTGTCCATTATGTATGGAATATAGTATATACAGTACAAGCTCGTTAATCCGGTATTCACTAATCCGACACGTCCAGTAATCCGTTATTTTGAAACTCTTATAATCAACTCCATAATCCGGCACTCATAAAATTCTACGTACTATAATCCGGCACGTTTATTATTTCATCACAAGGTTAGAATAGTCAGTAATAGGGTATTCTCACGAGTTTCTGTTATTGTGTGTGCGTTACATGATTTTTATGCACCCATATCAATATGGAAGGTAAAACACGAAAACGAAAGCACGAAACGTTAACTCTAGTTCAAAAATTGGAAATTTTAAGAAAAAAAATTTAGCTTCAAGAGATGGTCTAATACAAACAATTTTTTTAACTCAAAATTTAAGCATTGATGAAATTAAAAAATTTATAGTGCGAGCAGCAGTGGACTTAAAAGAGGACAATGTTGAAAGCTAGGGAGGAAAATAACCTATGAAAGTGAAGTACAAAAAAACGTTAAGCAAACTAAACATTATGGACCAAAAGTTGAGTTAGAACTACTAAGATATTTAGATGATAAACGTACAAATTTAAACATTATTCATGATTACCCAACATTAAAAAAACTGTTTCCAAAATACAATACCGCATTACCGGCACCTGTCGAAAGGTTATTCTCATTGGCCAACATGGTCCTAACTCCAAGACGCCAAGCGCAATCAGACAACAACTTTGGAATGTTAACATTATTGAATGCTAACAAACATTTATTAGACTTTAATTTATTATACATAATATAATATATCACGTAAATAGTAAAATATACAATATAAGAAAATATTTTTTGAAGTATGTAGTACAACCCAATTATTATTTTTATTTACAAGTTGTTGCTCATTTTTAACACAATCGTAACTTTTTTTGAAATACCCGTACCCGAGTAACCGCTAACAGTACCCGGGTACTGTACTCGAGTACTTTAAATTGTGAAAAGTACTTGCAAAAAGTATCCGATACCCGAATAGTATTAAAGTACCCGTACCCGTTACCCGGGTACTTTCATTCAGTACACGTGCCCACCTTTGGTTTCAACCTATGGACCAGAATGTGATCTAAATGATTAAGACTAATTACAAAAAAAATCCTGTCAATGATGTTGCTAAAACGTTAAAAAATATGAATTTAAAAGATGCCGTATTCACCGTGACTGAGGCTTGGAATAGTGTACCTGACAGAATAATACAGTCATCTTTGAAGAAGTTGTGACCATCATTAAATAACAATGAAGTAGAAGGTGAATGCGATTTAGAAGACTTACATTAATAAATGAAGTGATCAGTAATGAAGCAGACGACAATGGTAATGTAGATGAGGTTGCCTCCAAACTTCAAGTGAACTCTGTGAAATCTGAGGACGCATTAAAGGCAATTGATCTCAATATCCTTTGAGCCGAAGACAATAAACAATCTGCAGATATTTTACTAACACTGAGGAAATTGAGAGAAAATATACACAATAAAATCTATTATTGTAAAAAACAGTCAACAATTGACAAATTCCTTAATACGTCATTAACAAATAACATGTGAATAACATAATCATTTTTTTTATAAGTATTTTACGTTTACTTTCCAATAATAAACGATTTAATACAGTATTGATCATTCTTTTGTTTGTTTTCTCTTATAGTAAAACTTATTTCTCGATAATATGCAGTAGTCCGGCACATTCAGTAATCCGTCAGTGTGAAAAATTTTATTTTGCCGGATTATCGAGCTTGTACTGTATCTTGGTAAATGTTGACTTTATAAAAAAAGATTTTATACAAAAGTTGTTTAATATTTTATTTGAATTTAATAATATTTGAAATAAATTTATTTGATTTAACACTTGAATTTTTTTAAATGGTAGTGTAACTTTTCGTTAGGCTCATTTGATAGAGATTACTATATACATTACTATATTACTATATTGACTTTTCTCTTGACGATGACGTAAAATTTTTGAGCCCTTACATCAGAACATTTCTGAAAAAAATGTATAAAACTATTTATTAATAAAAATTAATCAATAACATTAATCTAGATATCCGAGATCATCGAATTATTACCGTAAATTAAATTTACATACAAAATAATACAAATAAACGAAAAATTAGTGTACATCTCCAATAATTCGAGGTACTTCAAGGTCTCTTCACGATCTCGAATATCTAGATTAATGTTATTAGTTAACTTTTCTTAATAAACAATTTCTAAATTTTTTTCAAAAATTTTCAGATCTTAGGGTACTAAAATTTTACGTCATCGTAAATAAAAAAAATCTCTATCAAATGAGCTTTACGAAAGGGTACATTGCCATTTAAAAAACTTTAAGTGTTATTCGTTGCTCATTTGTTTTTTGAAATAAAAGCAATTGAATGCTGTCCTATTGTGGCATATAAAATATTAAACAACTTTTGTTTAAAATGGTTTTTTATAAAGTTGATACCTACCTAGATATATACTATATTCCATACATAATGGGCATCCTGTATTAAATTTGTGAAGAAAGAAGTTTCATCAGCAAAATTAATTACTTATGCTGATGAAACTATAACATCTCAGTTGATAAATCAAAATTTCAACAGCATCCTAAATCTTTAACAGCAATACTAAAGTTGCTTATTTAAAAGCATTTTCGTGTAGTGATTCATTTACCACAATTCACATCATAAAACGATAAGAATCGCTCCAGTAAAATAATAGCGTAGCGAATAATGAGTATTCAGTTGATCCTAGATACTATTTAAACTCTAAATGAACTACTAGAAATTATTTATGAAAATATGAAACTCAACGTTGAAAAGAATGAATCGGTTAAAAGGTTGTTGGATATTTAGAGACACGCATAAGGATTACAGTTACACCTGTTGTGACATCAACAGTACTTGTGTTACACGCAATAATCCGGTATTACCGACAGAAATTACATGGACGCAGTTTAAACTGTTAATTTACGATGTTTTGAAGATCAGATCGTTTACAAACGCGCTTGCGTATAAAGTATCGGGCGAAAAGTTTACTGTCAACTTCAGTAAAGGTCGTGGGCGATTTTGTAATAATCCCAAGATTTAGTAGAGCATTGGGACGGCTTGTTATTAGTAATCTGCCACGGATTAAAGGTGGTCGGGCAATAACTCTTTGTTCCAAATCCAAATGCAACGATGACGCCCCGAAGCTTATAAAATCAATACCTCTTTCGGTCGGTATTTCAAATCAGTATCTGACCCCGGAAAATTCTGGGTGCTCTCACTGGTCGCTGTCTGTTACACGCGCGAGAAGGTTGGGACACGTTAAGAATGCATAGTAGCATAGCCCATCTGTTTACCCGAAGGAACTTTATCGAAGCATGTTTCCTTTTCTGAGTGGAAAGGGTCCATTGTCACGCGACGGACCGCCGACCGACACTTACTCTGTCACGGCGGAAAAAGCGTTAGGGACCCCTTTACCCAAACAAGACACGTCTAGAACATTTGTATTTTCTGGCCAGGTTCCTCACTGATTTCCCACCCGTTAGAGTAGATAAGAAAGTGTCAAAACCTATCCCTAGGTTTTTTACTTACGGTTTATGTTAAGTACTACTAGTTTTGTCGCTGGGGGAACCAGGTTTGTGTTACTGGCCTGGCAAATCAGTCTTTCATTTAGATGCTGCCTTCCTACGTTTGGGAACGTTAGATGGTTAACCACAACCCCATCTGGCCTCATCTCATACGAATCATCTATAACACGATTTTCTAAGAACCAGAGTACTCTCGGTCGGGGACGTCCTAAAAAATTGAAAAAGAAATTTTATTACACATAGTTTGAAGGGGAACACTTTTATTTGATGGACTGAGGAATTTAAAGGATGTCGAATACTGTAGTCCTAAGGGAAAGAACGAGGGGAAACCGATCGGCGTTCATTGGGTAAAGAGAAGATGGACAGACGGGCGCACCTTATTAAAACTTTCTTACCTCCGCTAACTTCGCAAATTAAGTTGACGTCACTGCCTTCATTATAAGGTTCTAATAATGTAGTCCTGTCTCTTCTCTTGCCGTCGTAAATTACTGGCCTTTCCGGAGGTACTGCAACACGAAACAGGCATTAAAGGCCGCGTTGCATTAAGGCGTAATTACTCTCTCTTTCTCGCCATAATCAGGTGTTTAAAAAATAACAGAGTAAGTAAAAGAGTTTTAAGTTAATTATATTTTAATTAGGTAGTACCATTTCCGCGCAAAACAATCTTATCCTTAGTATTCTTTAAAAGGATTTGTAGGAGGTAAAGTGAAACTGAAATGTGAACTTTAATCCGACATGAACTTTAAGATATAAATAAGGATATCTTCCGTCGCCTAAAGTCTAAAGTTTGTAAAACATAAAATGGAATGAACTCTAAAACTAATTCAAGAACTTTCAATATCTCCTCCATATATTTTTTTCATCCGACAACCAGGTTACAGTGTTCAATTTCCCTTCGCTTGCTCAGGAACAAAAGTAGAAGAAAGTCGAGTCCGCGTTTGGCAGGACGAATGATGACACTGGAAATTGCGGTTAAAGGAAACGGTATTGCGACCGAAGCCGCAAGGGAAAACGGGCCGATAAAGAAGTAGATTGGCCTGCGCGAGTTCCGACAAAGTTTGGTTTTAAACTCCCGATCCTCTCCGTTCATCTTCAACGGTTCTACGATGAATTGTGGTAGCAATTCTTATCGTAGCTCCACGGGGAAGCAGCTGTTGATTTTTCGAACGTATTAAATCTGTTCGAGATGTGTAATGGGTTTTGTCGGTGACGCGGCTGTTGTTGCTTTGAGATATTTTATTGCCCGTTTAATCTAAATGCTAATATCAAGGGCACCATTCGCGGTGGTCCCATTTAAAATTCGGGGGGATGTGTTAGATTTCGCAATAATTAAACGTCTTTCAACCTCCTGTGTTACTTTTGGGCGCTCCGTTTTTCCAGGACCGGTTCTTTGCATAATCACCAGGGATTCATTGTTTACCCTGTATAATACAATCAAATCGTCTAAATTTATTTTCTAGTTTACTCTGCCGAATAAAGCATGCGCCAAGTTTTTATTCGCCGGCGAGGAAAGCTCGGAGAGAATATTTAATAAACGACGTCGATTATAATGTAATTTTTCATTGAAAATTGTTCTCATCCTGATGCGCCAACTGGGCCAAAATTTGTTATGCAAAGTGTTCTATAAAATTAATTAATTACTGGTGTCAGCCACCCAACGCTAACACAACTGAATGTGTTACAGCAGTTTTTGTATAAATACTAGTTATTACTCTACAGCGTGTCCCGTATCTTCCGCATCAGAGCATTATACGGTTGTAGAATACATTATTCTGAAGCGATCTTTCTAATAAAATTTTTTCGAAATGTTTATAATAACCGCACGGGAACTGTTTAACGACGACCAATAACGGACAACTTTGATTCATCGAAAAAGTTTATTTCTCTTTCCATGACGACTCTATTGGTGAGTACACGTGGGAAACGAGTTATCATCGGCGTAGCGGACCGGCCGAGGGTGGCACCGATTACCTGAGTCTGATTTGCGATCTGCTGATTGGACGAAAAACAGTTCCTTTAAACAGTTCCCGTGCGGTTATTATAAACATTTCGAAAAAATTTTATTAGAAAGATCGCTTCAGAATAATGTATCCTACAACCGTATAATGCTCTGATGCGGAAGATACGGGACACGCTGTATATATAAACACATCTCTAAAAAACTTTACTTGTACTAATTAATTACGGAACATTTATACGATGTCGACAATATTCTATAGCGTAATAATGTATTTTATACATGTCAATCATTTCGAAAAATTGTAATATTTTGAAGAACAACACTAATCAGGCAAAGACTAAAAAACAAAGTTCTAGACGGGGTAGCTATAATTACCCACTTCAAAGGACTTACGGCATAAAGGAATTGAAAAGCTCGTGCTGCGCCTTCTCTTCCGCTAATTGGACGCCGCAAGTCCTTAATGATATTTTAACGACGATGAAAAATTACTCCTACCTTCTCCATTAATTACATCGTGAACGGTTTTTGTTGAAAATCATACCTTCCCGTATATTTGCCAAATCCGCGCTGAAGTGTTTATCTAGAAAGTATTACCTGACCAAGCGTTAATAAACTCGGGCTCCCGGAGATAAGACCTGCATTGCGGCTGTTCCCGAAACATGTAACAGAGAGCTCGCCTTCAGGGCTACCGGGATACGGGGGAAACCTCCCGGGATACATAGCAGTGCAACAGAAACCGCGTCAGATTAGCTGCTGTAATAGCCACGTTGACAAGCGTGTCTTCATCGCGCCCCACTCTATTATGTAAACTGGTAGATATGGCCCTTTGGGCGGTTTATTTCGGATTAACAACGACTTAGATACCCTACACTAACGCCAGGATATTAAATTCTTCGCTATTGACCTATAGCACGGTAGTGATATTTGGTGTTGGCAATTTAATTGAGTAATAAAAGATGAAACAATTCATTACCAAGTTAATATTAATTAATTAATCGAAATAAATAAAAGATAAGTTTTTCCAAAACTATATGCTTGTTTTGCTTGAAAAATTGATAATATCACATAATGTTGTTTATGATAGATGAGCGATTTTATTCTTACTCAGTTTCAAAATGTAATAAATATGACATTGATGTCATAGTCATAGAAGAGAAAGATGTTTGTTGTGCAGGGTGAGAAACATTGAGCAGGAATCAAAATCATAACATAAAACTTCAACAAGTACAATCACTGAATATATTTTAGTAGATAGGTGGATCGAGAGAAAAAACTTTACTTTTCAAATATCCCCTGAAAAAGAAGTCGGGATGAGCCTCTGGTCACTGAGCCTCGGCCAAAAGGCTAAATAAAACCCCATAAAGTCGACGCCACTTGCGGCAGAAGCGCTACAATATGATGACCAGTTTCAGCTTTTTGACGCATTCCTAGATATAAGCTTCATGGAGACATGACTTGGCACATAGTTGACTTACTAGAAACTTGACGAAGGTTTGGTGCAGAATTGATTGAACAGACTTTATACGAAGCTGCTTCGATGCAGAATTGATTAAGACTTGATGCTGTCATGGTAGGGGTTTGAAGTAGAGTAATAGAGATTTACTGCAGCTACCAAGTCATGAGACATAACGAAGATTTGACGCCAATATCTGAATATATCTCCACTTATATCTCTAAGTAGAATATTTAATCTAGATGAATGCCGTTTTTATAGGTGCCAAGGTAATACCTTCTATTTAACAAAAAAAAAGTGGAGTACAATTTTATTATGAGCATCTAGTGAAATCGCGTCTTCTTGACTATTTGTACAAGGAAGATGTTTTCAGTAAGCATCAATATGGCTATGTAAGGAAATCTTCCACAATTAAAGCTCTAATTGATCTACATCAGCAAATCATTGATGTTTTTAATGGGTCAAAAAAAATGTCGGCACTAATGTTGAACCTTCCAAAGGCATTTGGTTGTGTGAATCATAAGATATTGTTAGAGAAACTGGAATATTATGCCATCAGAGACCCCACGTGTGTTTCAAGTAAGTGTTTCAATCGTACCTAGAAAATCGAAGACAGGTGGTCCAAGTTGGTAATAATAGATAGACCATAAGAAGGGTGGAAATCGCAGGGATCCATCTTGGGTCCAATTTTATTCCTTTTATATGTGAACGATCTTCCGGAAACTTTGAACACGTGTAAGACGATAATGTATGCAGATGACACAAAATTGTTAAATACATCTAGTACAATTGACGAGCTACACGAAAATAAAGGTCTCAGACAAAAGGTTGCATCAGATTGGTTTAAAACGAATAAACTTAAACTGAATGAAAATAAGACACAAAAAATTGATTTTAGTACTAAAACAAATAATAACGCCCGGCAGTTAAGTTACTGGGGCTGCAGTTTGAAAACTTTTTGAAATAGAATCTACAGGTGAACGTAATAGGAAAGAAACTTAGCTCAGTAGTTTACTTAGAACACTTATAAGCCTAACAGATCTGCAAACAGTGATGGTGGTATATTACTAGAATTTCCAGAGTGTGACGTCATATAGCATTCTGTTTTGCGGAAGTTCACCAGGAATCGAGCGGATACTCTTAATTCAGAAAAAAGCAGTAAGAATGCTATTCAAAGCTAATGAACTAAAAATTTGTAGGCCACTTTTTATAAAATCAAAAATAATGTCCTGAAAAAATCTGAATGGTATATTATGCCGAGAGGAGTTACATAACTACAGTACGTGAAATCAAAGATTATTACAAATCCCTTACCATAGGGTGTCGACATGCCAACAATCTGTTAACTACCAAGGAATAAGATTTTATAATAAATTGCGGGACGACACAAAATCCCTCTCACGAGAACAATTTAAACATGTCCTAAAATTACATTTTAGCAGCAACCCATACTATTCCATACATGAATAATTCACGGATACGCCATACATTTTGTAATTGTCATTTATTGAAATTGTAAACATATTCTTGACGACCTGTAACTTTATGTTTTTTTGGGAATAAAATTTGTTTGACAAATTAATGATTTTTCTACTGTCTTATTCTACCAGTATTCGTAGAATATCTTATACAACGGGAATTCCTGAAACCAACATATGGAGAATTCTGCACTATGATGGACTTTATCACTATCATTTACAAAAAGTCTAGCATTTACTTCCTCAAGATTTAGAAAATCGAGTCCGGTATTGCCAGTGGTTACAAAATAATTGAGAAGTTATTTCACACACACTTTTTACGGACGAGGCCCAGTTTACAAGGAATGGTATTAACAACACACGTAAGTCTCACATCTGGACGGATCAAAACCCACACAAAACAATCGTTGTTAACCATTATAATCTTTTTTCCGTCAACGTGTGTTAAATAATCATCTTATTGAGCCTCATTTTTTTGAAGGACGTCTTAATGCAGAAATTTACATTCATTTTTTGGAAAAAGAATTGTCGAATTACATGGAAGATATTCCTCTAGAAGCTCGCTGTGGCATGTGGTTCCAGCAAGATGGGGTACCACCAGATTTTGGGAGACAGGTGACGATATTTCTTAATGAAAATCTTAAGAAAAGGTAGATAGGACGAGGTGGAAATGTACATTGGCCAGCTCGGTCACCTAACTTGTCACCTCTAGATTTTTTTTCTGTGGCATAGCCTCAAATCTCGTGTGTATAGTAGTAATCGTAAACCAGATACACGTGAAGAGTTGATTACTAAATAGTTGAAGCTACTAATTCGCTAAAGAATTAATTGGCGGTAATTAATTGGCAACATTCTATGACACGAAGGATAACTGCATGTTTAGAAAATGGCGGTTCTCATTTTGAACAGCTGCTGTAATTTTGTGTTAATTAGCTACCCATTTGTAAATAAATAAGTGAATAAATTTTCTTTTATCATCTTTATTTATTTTTTTTGTTTTCTTTTAGTTTTATTTCGATATCTCCGAAACAAAAAGGAATTCACCTATAGGTGATATACCATTTTTTGATCGTAATGACCCCCGGAATATATGGTATAAGTTTGTCGGTCGAGTCACGGAACACCCTGTAGGATTTACTGTACTATGATCATGTTCAGTTCCAAGAGAATATTCCTTTGGTGTCTAGTTTAATTTAGGATTCTGCGTGGACAAATAAGAACCTGGATTCTGTCATCCAAAAAACGTTTTTTTAAAACAAACCTTACGAGAAGCAACACAAAATTTCTTAGCTATTGTTGGAAAGAACTGATCTTTCCACAGAAAAAAAAACATATAACTTATAGTCCTTTTATCAAAATCAAATCTTTTTGTAGTCCATACTTAGAAACAAGAAAATTGAGAAGACAGCTTTACTAACTTCTGTAGGCAATGGCCTTATATAAAGGACCATTGGTTACATAAGATATATCTACCCAGACAATTATGGAATATATTTGTTAAAAATACTCATCACCAGAAGTTTTGCTAACATACAAGAAACGACCAAAACGGAAAATGTCTTATCTTAATCATATCAAACCAGAAAATTGCACTTGTGATGACCATTTTTTGACCTTAAACTATTTCTATTACATATACTAAAGTTGGACTATGTCAGATACGAAATATAACCAGGCGGTTATAAGTTAGTCAATAATGTTTCAAAGCAATGATTCTAGTTGAGAAAACTAAATGAAGTCCATGTTAATCTTGCCATCGTATTTCAGCGACTATTTCATTCATAACGTTAACAGCCAATAAGAATTCGTGGTTTTCCGTCAATTGCGAGTATTTCAGCGGTTATTTGGCCGTAACCATGGAGAACGATAATACGAACCTTTGTATTATCGCTGTAATACGAACCTTTGTATTATCACTTGTTTGACATTTAATTAATTTCGTGACATCCATGAATGTTTCCATAATAATTAATGTGATTTTTTTAAAAAATATTAAAATTCTAAAAATATGTATATTTTTTATTCATGAAATAGTCTAGCCATATACAACACGACAATCGAAAATACTCGAATCTCGACGTATTGCCTTAAAAAACACCATTGGACCTTCGGTCTCGTGGTGTTTCAGGCAATACGTCTCGTATTATCGAGTATTTTCGATCGTCTTGTTGTATAATATATGATAATTTCACTCCACGAAATTATATTCAGTGATCCCTCGACCTTATGGACGTAATTGTTGCAGAAAGCTTAACTGAAGAAATTTAATCGATAAATGAGATCAAGATCTTTAAGAATTGTTCAATAATAATCGAAATATTTAAAAGTAAAAAATAGTTACAAATGGAGCTGAGGTTAATGTAGTAGCAGAAGTGAACAATAATTTATGTAAAATTGTAGTAATTAAGAATATTGGCATATTTACAGTAATTAAATGAATATTTTATTTTAAAATATGTATTTTATAAATATAATTATATGAGTCAGCCGATAAATTAACGAAATTTATTACGAAAAACCAAACACCAGTAAATAATCAGACAAAATCTGATATCATTAACGGAAACTTTACAATAATATTAAATATCATTCCAACAACACTTCTGCTATTAAATTATTAAAGATAAATGCGTAATATTGTCTAGGGCAATCACTTTTGCGTGAATAAAAAGATTATTCATCGTGTTTATTGATTAAAATTTGATACTGAAAACCCAATAAATCGTAGTGATCCTAACACAATCGATAGATTTGATGACTTCCGTAACAAAATGGATTTTATAAATCTAATAAAAGGGATTTATATCCCATCTACATCTTGCAAAGAGTAGCAAGAGAAACAAGGCATAATTCGCTAATATCTGCGCTATATTAGATAGATAATCAATTAGAAGTAGAATTGAGGACCAAATCTCTTACATTAGAATATTCTCTACAAATGTAATTAAATTTGTGCTTACAAAAGTATCAAAAGTTTAGCTCAACCTATTTAATTTAATGAAATGGTCCAAACTATATTGATTAGTTGTAAGTAAAAGTTCGTACGTGCACAGTTAATCTTCTAAGATCGTAACGAGAACCCTTTTAGTAAAATCGGAAAATCCTCTCTGAAGGGAAATCGGAATCGACAGTGATCTTTTTCCACGTAGAAAATGCGGCAAAATGTAAATACTTGGAGAAGATGCGTCCGCAAATTCCGCCTGAAAGTACTCGTCTCCCGTGGAGCTTTGATACGCTTGCGATAAATAACGAGCTTTCGTTACGGCGATTACTTCATCAAGTTTATTGTGCACCTAGATGCGGAGTACCTTCGGAAACATAATGCAAAGCACGTTAACGCGATTACTACGAGAAGAGACGATTGCGGCAAAAGGAGGGTGGAAAATGGCGTTCGCGCCCTTAATTCGATTTGCGACGTGGCGTCGGTAGAAGAGCGACAACGTCGCACAGTTTACAATAAATTGCAGGTTAAACATCTTGAATTCTAGGAGGGAGCGGCGAGGTAAAGGGTATCTTATTTGCATATCTAATTTACATGATTGCCGACCTAGGTCGCCATCAGACGAATGAATTGAGGTCTTGAGGAGAGGCTCCAAATAAAGTTGTCCGTTTTCTTTTATTTATTTTATACAGCTTTATATATTAATTTTTAAATAAATAAATGCATGTATTATGCATGTTAAAACGTTTGCTCTAAGCTTTCATCTGCTTTAATGTATTCTTTCGAGACTTGCTAATATTTGCTTTGTGTGTTTGCTACAAGGAATACGAAGAGAGAAAATGTGAATACAGCACTCAAATTCACGGTCTATCACGCTTACTTTAACCTAGGTTGGATAACATTTAAGTAAATATGTTAAGCCGACTATGTATACAATCAAATAACGGAAAATGAATCTTCCTTAAAGGTAATTAATAGTAAATTTCGTCAAAATAATCAACTGTAATATCAACCAAAGTTGGTTTTATGATTCAAGGCATAAAAACAGGATTTAAAGGTCGCATTCATTTAATAGTCGTGCGCTTTGTTAAGCGCACTCATCGTGGTTAGTAGCAAAGAACAATATAATGACCTCGGTTAAAACCAGGATGAGATCACAAAAGAATGAAATTAGAAGTTTGGAAAGCTTCTACAGTGCCTTTCGAACAAGGCACATCGCCTGCAAGTGATCATCTTGTTAAAAATACAAAGTTTCTGATAACAAGATATTTACCCTCAAATCGCCGAGGTCACTTATGAGCAAGGCAATGAATTTGATACATCAATACGAAATCGTCAACTTTGGAGACTTCTAGCGCCTACCCCGCAAGCGACTTCAGCAATTTGACTCGAGTCTTATATATTTTGGTAAAGATACAAAGTCTCTTATAAGAAAACACTTACCCTCAAACCGCCGAGGTCACTTGCGAACGAGGGATTTGATACATCGATATAAAATCATCAGGTTTAGAGGAACATAGCGCTTCGCCCGCTAGCGACCTCGGCGATTTGAGGCGAAATCGTCCCTTATATACCTTTGCACAAAGTTTCTTATAAGAAAAAATATACTTTATACATTAATTTTTTGGTAGAAACGTGTACATCATTAAATGTGTTATGAATCTTAAAACGTTTCATTTACTTTAATGTATTCTTTGAAAACTTGCTAATATTTATTTTGTGTGTTTACTATGGGAATACGAAGAGAGAAAATGTGAATATAGAACTTACATACACGGTCTATTGTGCTTAGTTTTACCTAGGTTTGTTAACATTAAAGTAAATATTTTAAGCCGACTGTGTATATAATCAAATGCCGGAAAATGAATCTTCCTTCCCGGTAAGTAGTAGTAAATTTCGTCGAAATAGTCAACTGTAATATCAACCGGAGTTGGTTTTATGATTCGGAGCACAAAAACCGGATTTAAAGGATGCATTTATTTAATAGTCTTGCGCTTTGTTCCTTCCAAGATTTATTTGTCTTTTCGCTTTATTGTTCGTCGTTTTATTTCGGATGTTGTTTCGTGGCTAAATAGTGTTTAATGAAACGCGCTTTTTGGGTGACGATGAAATGGGTGACTTTTTCCCTTATCTTTATTTCTTATAGAGGACCCCTGTCTCGACGATAACCATCCGTCAAGTTTGGAGGTCCAATGTCCTAAAATAAAGTAGGGCTCGAAATTGGAGTGCAGCCATATTTTTCGAGGTAGCATCTAGCTTTTGGGCTCTTGGGATGGCTGAATTTTACGGGAGTTACTGTAATACGGTGTAACAACGCTTCGAACTCCGAAGGGGATTGAAAATCGGTTGGTAAGATCTCCAGAAAATGTCGCCGTTTTGGACGGTAAAAAAACTTTCGAAGAAGTTTTATTCGACATAGCAAACTCGCTCGTCCTAACTTTGGATTGTTATAAAATTATTGTGATTTCGGTACTTGAAAAATTTTAAATTTCACGCATCAAAAAGTTAACTTAATTAATAAAATTAATTAAGTAAAAATGTAGCCTTACCGATTACTGTAAAGTTCACTTTGCTATTCCTTGTTGGCGAGTTCTTAAAATCCACTCGACACCTATAGATTCCTTCATCTGTGAGTTGAATGTTATCAATAGCCAGGGAAGCAGGACTCGTTGTTGCACGGAAGAACGCTCGATTACCAAAAATATTAGGTGCTGACCATAATTTGGCTTGATTGAATTGACGACCTCGAACATCGAAACTAAAAATAATTATAAAAAAATTAATTTAAACTAATATATATTTATATAAGTATTAGATTTCTTATAATTTATAATAACAGAATAACCTTGAAACAGGTCGATATTAAAGCAGCTTGACACCGGAAGTTCGTAATCAAAGGGTCTTTATTAAAAGTGAAGGGCTGTCATTCCAAAGCTGGCTCGACGTTCTTGCCATGCTCTAGCTCCGAGAGCTCGACTTTTAATAAGTTGTTACAAGTTTTAATTAAAGCCGTCCAGTACGATCTGGCGCTCCGCCGGTCCGTTCTTCAGTCTGGCACGACGAAGTAAACTCGGAACTACACGGAGAAATTCAAACAACGCGGTAATTCCTTTATCCTGGTGGAGAAGAAGGAGGTCGGCCAATTCGGAATTAAACAGTTCTTGATTAAGGACGCGCGTTACCTCTTCTTTCCACGTTAATTTATACGCCCCGTTCACACACTGGCGATAATTAAATAGTACTTTGTGAAAATTCATTACCAAAATTGCTAGGAGGCAAGGAACAAGTTGTAAGGACACCACGTAGGCGTATACCCTCCGGCCTCCCATACTTCATCGTTCCATAATTCATAGCCGCCAACGCCGCTGAAGAAGCGTTCCTCCAATGAATCGCACGACGGAGCCGGTGGGAGATTAACGATGGGATGGTAGTCAAACTTAACAGTTAAATCTCTTGTCTCCTAACTTGATTTAAGTCCTAGTTCGCCATTACAGTCACTACCTGAGGCTCCCCTACTACGCCCGATCCACCATCTCGTTGAAAATTCAAGATCGGCTTTTATAACGAAGATGAATATTCATTACTTTAAGCGTCTTATGAGACCAATAGAATGGGTTAGTAGGTTAGCATCTACGGTTTCAAAATAGATAAAAGTTACGCCATTTTCACTTTACACGAATAAATAAATAAGTAGATTTTAGAGAACAATAACTGACTTAACCGTACTATACCAAATTACAGTATAAAATTTTTTAGATCCGGCGCCTCCACCACAATTATATTAATAATAATATATCTCTTTAGTATCCAATAGGAAGGCCCAATTACAGGATAATGCATAACAAAAAAAAAGGTGTAGTAAGATGTGCATCGCACAAAGATGAAAAGTTAAATCCTTCCAATAACGCAACGTAGTCAATACCTCGCCCCAGATACTCACCAACTGTTTTAAAACATAAGTGTTTTAAGAACCTCTTCTGCACTCTCTCGAGCATGAGCTGTTGAGAAGTATAACAAGGATACCAAGCCAGGGAACCATATTCCAATTTTGTACGAAGAAACGCATAGAAAAGTACTGTTAATGCGGCTACGTTGTTCAATTATTTACATCGTCTGATGATAAAACTCAATACACCAGAGGCTGACTTTACTATAGCGTTAACATGATCTTTGAATTCCAACTGGTCATCGAATAAGACACCCAGATCTCGAATAGCGCATTCTCCGCGTATTGCTTCAATTCCCACACAGTAGTTAAACGTTATTGGATTATTACACATCGTGTAAGATACGACAACGCATTTTGCTATATTAAGATCAATTCCATTCTGTACAGACCAGGAACTGATAATGTTCAGATTGCGCTGTAAGATAACACAGTCTTCAGGGGATCTTACACGAGCGAATATCTTTAAGTCATCGGCGTAACCAAGCACATTACAATCAAGTCGTCGTAATAGATCATTCAGATAAACATTGAAAAGAAGGGGTCCCAGGATGGAACCCTGTGGAACACCAGAGCCTGCAGTGAACGTATCAGATTTAAAACCGTTGGAGCTCACATGGCAAAGCCTATTGGAGAGATAAGATGAAATCAAACCCACGAAATCATTGGTAAATCCAAGAGTGCAGAGATAGAAAGAAGTATTCCATGATCTAATCTATCAAATGCCTTTGTAAAACCTGTGTAAATTATATCAACTTGCCGTTTATCCATGTGCTCGCTGATGAACTGCGTAACCTCTGCTAAATTAGTCATAGTTGAACGACCAGTCATAAATCCGTGCTGATGATCAGATATATATTTGCGAACACTAGTTCATTCTGGAGTATAGCAACATCTCGGAGACCTTTGAGCAATTGTTCAAACTGCTAATAGTCGGTAATTTTCAATACTAAATCTGTCTCCCTTTTTAAAAACCGGCATTGTCCGAGTTTTTGTTGACATATTGCAGGAAAAGTTTTAGTTTTTAAGCATAAATTAAATATAAAGGTTAACGGTCTGCTGAGGAAGGGTGCACAATCTTTAATAATAAATAAAACTTAGGAGACCGTCGTCGCTAGCGGTAAAGTCATTTTTCTATCGTTTCATACAGATTTCTACCTCCTCGACAGAAAATGGAGTAATGTAGAAGGACCCAGGACAGTTGATATGCTGGTTACAGTTATTGATTGTTGTAGGTCCAGGATTGAAGGCTTCGGAAAAGAAGACAGAGAAGGCCTACACTATTCCCAGGGGATCAGCGATCTCAAAGCCAACAAAGATCACACAGCCTGGAATACGCGACTTGTTTCTGATTCACGTAACGCCAGAAATGTTTGGGGTCGGTGGATATATAATTTTCGGTATTCACGAGATAAAACTGATAATCATTACATCCTTGCATAAACGGCGCAACCTAACATATTCATCGTAGTATGATAGTTGTTTGGATCTCTTTCACTTCTTAATGTAGTGCCCCTTGACTTTCAATAGACGTTTAGTACTTCCAGTAAACCATAGAGGAAATTTCGACAGCAATAAAGAATATTTGGGTACATGTTTTTCAATAACGTTAGAGATATTATAGTAAAATTTTTCCACTGCAATATTAACATCCGAGCACATCAATATATCAAACCAAACAACGTGACCAATATCGTCATACAATCCACGAAAGTCCGCTTTACGGAAGTTAAAACAAAGGTTATTTGATGGAAACACTAGAGGTTCATCAATATTCTGAGATTTAAACAAGATGTTCAGTGCAGGATGACTAAAGTTTTCTGTAAGTAAGGGTGAAACGTCACGTTCTGCAGTCACTTCGCACTTAAAGTTAGTAAAGATTAAGGCGACTATCGTATCTCTAGAGTTGTAGATATGGTTATGTTGACACCATATATACTAGATTAAGTACCAACAAAGTTCTTGAAAAGGAAAGATTTGCGATCAAGGCTATTTTCGGACATCACAAAGCGGAAGCAGTTAAAGTCGCCACAAATTATAATATTTTTCCCAATCAAGCTGATACTAAGCGAATCAAGAAACAGTTCCAAATCATCCAGCGGAGCATCAGGAGGTATGTATAGTGTAATAATAAATATGCTGATCGAGAAATAAAAATATTTACCAACAACTACATCAATCAGAGGGGCAAGATTTAAAATCTCGGACACATCACAGTTGAACAATTTGATTTGCTGACTGCAGGCAATAAGCATTTCTAATTACATTAAATATAGTAGGCAGCAACTCAGAGTTGGTGATGTCCGGAAAAAGCCATGTTTCGGTAAGCAAAATTATATAAAAATCGGCAGAATTTGTAGCGGTATAATTGGTGAGTTTTTGTTCGAAGTCCTTGCACATTTTGATAAAATAAACGAAGTGTGTGGGTCTTCCTGTTGGATCCTAATAGTTTTCCCGTTGGATAGTTCGGTCATTGGCAGTTGATACTATGATAGGTGCCCATTCACACGGGTATCAAGCTGTGTTTTGAGAGATTTGTAGAGAGAATTTTGCAGCGGTGTTTTGTCTGTTGTTAGAATAACAGCTTTGAACTTATCAGATTTTAGTAATGTCTTAATGTTCCTAAGAACATTGTGAACTACATCATAGGAGTAAAAAGGGATTTTCAATGGGCGCTTACGATTCAAGATCGACGGATTTACCCAATTGCTTTACAGTAAAATCAGGTGCTTGGATTATCGAATAGTTAAGTATCTTATTTATAGATCTAACATCATCATTTTGCTAGTCAACTTTACTACCATCCGGAAGCTCAGGCAAGTTGAATGCTACTAGATTATTCTTACGTTTTTCCCGGTCTGAAATCTCTTGAACTATGTTTTCAACATTTGACTGGTCCAGAGCCGGCCCCGTAGTAACGGTGGAGCCGGTAGAAGAACGTTCAGTTCTAAGGATTTCCAGGTCCTTCTGCACAGTTACAACAAGGCTTGTTACTTCGTGTTGGACAATAAAAAGTCAGTTTACGATTTTTAGATTTTAGTAGCTGAGATTCGTTTCTCGACAGACCAAATAAACCAATGTATGAACTGTGATTAAAAGTACGACATAGGTCGCAAGAAATCTTCAACTCGAAATCGTCAACTTTGAAGGATTACTAAGTGGAAGTTACTAAGAATAAAGGTTGAATAAGGCGTGTTAAACTTTTAAGTGTTGAGTGTTACTCCTATTGTGAATAAAGATAAAACGTTATGGACTCCTTATATTTTACAAGCGGTATAAATGAATTAACACACCATATCTTTTTATGATTCAGAACAAAATAGTGTGATAAACCTTCGTTAAAACTCCAGAATAAATTTGTAAACGTTAATAAACCGTACGAGAAAGTTTTAAAACGCAATAACATAGTTTGGCTAGTTACGGAATTGTATTAACGATCAAAAAGCGAGATGCGACGTGAAATTGCAAAAGGTAAATTGTAACGTTCTGGCTATTGTAACGAAAGAGTTTCCATTTCGTAGGCAAACGGGATTGAAACCGAGCCTCTGGATCTGAATAATATTAGAAAAGTTGAAATCCCCGCTGGATTATAGCTGACACCGAGTACTTTTGGTTCCCATTAAACACACACAGGACTCTCATTTTACAAGTTATAATGTTCCACTTTAACGGGAACTCCCGCTTGGTGCCATCTCCTTCTAAATCATTGTCTTCATAAAGTATAGTGTTTCACTTAATATTAACAGATAATTAGATAATCGTACATTAATTACCTGTACAACGGTTCCAATATCGTTTCCTTAAACCATAAAACCATGGCAACTGCATCATCTCTGTCCCTGGGGGTTATGTCACATGGTAATCCTTTCTTTTTCCCCAATACTCCTTGAACATCTTCCATGGGTACTGAAACAAAATTTTGCTGTGTTATTGATCCTAAAAAATTATGTATACAACTATAAAATTATAAGATAATTAATCTTTCTTAATGTAGACATTAATATTGAGCGAATATTAAACTGACGAGGATTTAATTGAAGTCGATTGAAGTTTTACGATCCAAAGCTAAAAATAAGCGCCTATCTGTAAAAGTGCTTGAATATTAATGCGATGGTTTCATGGTGGACCGCTTTCAGTTATCGATCTACTTAGCGCCATAAAGTTAGCTTAAATGTAAGCCAGTTATACGGTGAACGTTCCGGAAGAGTATGGAGTCATAAACCGCGTATACGTTAGGTTAAAATGGGCTTTGGAATTATTAATTGAAACGACCCGATTGGCCGAAAAGCTCTGAATTTGAATTTAGTAATTATTAATTTTAATACGAGGAAAGAGGAATGCCGGCAACACCTAACCTTTATATCGATCGGCAAACAGATTATCTAAATTGCTTACTTTGTAAACATTGTAATTGGAAAAGTTTATCCTTCCTCTTTCACAATGGCGACGGTACTCGAGACGGAGACGATCGTTCGACTCAAACCTTTCCATTCGGTAGAGCCAGCGGCTATTCAGATAATGGAGATTATGGAAATAATGAACGGTGGTCTACTAGACGATAAGAATATTACTCCTCTTCTGAGACGAATAAGAACTAATGGGTTCACCAACAAAGAACTCTTCTCCTCCCATTATGTCTTGTAATGAGTAATCAGTAATTAGCGATAAAAACAGCTTAAAGACTATATAGATATTCAACAACATTTCCGTTCCACGAAGTACTTCTATAACGCAAACCTTTCCGTTCTAACTCATTCGGACTTCAGCGGAACGGTTATCTTATTGCCATCTACGATATTATCCCCTTTTATTTCCAACTCTTCGGACTGGTTGGAGAAAGCATTACGTTTTAATGGAGACACATCCTTGACATACTGAACTATCTCCACAGGGATCTTTAAAACACCCCGGCTGGATGAAATGAGAGGACGGATAGACTTCCGTTGCATCTAGCGAGTTTTATAGGAACAATCGGTCGCGAAAGTCTGAAAACTCAATTGTTTCCTAGGAAAAGTTTCTACTCTGCAGGATGCAAAAATAACGGAATTTATTCTTGAAAACTGTTTCCTGCTAGTTAAACAAAATTCAGACTATAAGGTAAACTATAACGTATTGAATTTAATTCAATTAGAAAAAAAAAAGTTCAATAATATACAAAAATTCTAAATTCAATCTAGACACAGCAAACGATTGGAAATGAATAAGCGAATTTGAAGTGAGTGACAATTTTCAAACTAGCATTGATACACATTAAAGCAAAAATCGGCCTCCAACAAACGGTTAATTGACACATGCCAATCTGCCTGCATAATATCGCCTCTACTATTTGAACGATAGTAATTGTGTCGTCGTAATATAATTGCTTTAACAAGGTAAATCACCGCAGTTTATAACAAATGTGAATAATAAATGTGATAAATATGGCGTGATAATTGATTTATATCATTATTAATTCGAAACATCAACGTATTATTGGTCGTTATTTGAAATAATAATTCTACTTTTACACAGATATACAAACGAATTTCTTTTTAAAACACATATTCTGTGTATTCTTAAATCTATGATAAGGTTATTGGGTGTAGCGATCGGTATAAGAAAAAAAAAGAAAACTAAATTTTTCTTAGCTATAATTCGTAACTAATATTAGTTTCGTTAATTATTATTTCTATTTAGTTTCGAAATATAGCAAAAAAAATTTAGTTCTTATACCGATCGCTACACCCAATAACCTTATCATAGTTGTCAATTTTTGCGATCAAAAAACTGCATCTAACGTATTCTTAAATCTGCAAGATAGTATCTTTTGTATACGTATCTTTTACTTTGAAGTGCATTTCTTAATGTGTTTAAAACGAGGTTTTTTCAATGTGAATCTTGTCAATGTGGTTATTTCTAAATCATCTAATGTTTGGTTACTTAGTATATCAATTAATTTTATTCATTTCATATTATTGACAGAAGATTGGTTGCGCTCATAGACTTCGGTACTGCTTATGGAAGACTATGTACTGCTTGCAAGAGAATGATGGTAGAGGACTAGATAATAATGTTATTAGTTATGTTAGATATAATGTTGTGTAGAAGACTGTCATAGAAGCAGTCATAGACGTAGGTACTGCTATGGAAGACTATGTATTGCTTGCAAGAGAATGCTGACAGGAGATTAGAACCTACTGGCAGAACAATAGATATTGCTGACAGAGGACTAGATACTGCCAATTGAAGATTAGATCATGCTAATGGAAGACTATGTAGTGTTAATGGAAGGTAGGTTCGTTCCTAATAGTAATTCGGCTAATGGAAGTTGCTGAAGTAATGTTGTATACTACAGCAAGAATGCTGTAATATATATATTCATATGAAAATATGAGGTAATTTTCTTTAGGGCAAACTGAAAAACTTATGCAACTTTGATCAAATGCTGCTGGAGAACTCCCACCCTGATACTTTAACCACCGTTCTCGGATAACAAGAAACATATTTGATATGTGGTTTAAAAATAAATTTATTCCTCACGTAAAAACATATAGGACGGCAAAGGCCTTCTTTAAAAAGCAATATTGCTTCTTGATAACGTACCACCTCAAAAGGGTGTCAACTGAGAACGGAAACATCATTGATTTGTATCTTCCGCCTAATACTACTCTCCTGATACAACCCAAGGACCATCTAAATATTGACTCAAAGGTTTTGGTTTATGGACACATAACCGATTATTATCTAGTTGTGCAGCCAATGCTTTTCAAATCGATCAACTCACATTTCAAAGTTAAATGGTTTTCTGCCATGACTAAATCGCTTTTGCTTGTCGGCGGTGTTCAAGTCGAAGTTTCCACTTACCCCTACAAAAAGCACTGTTTCTGAGGTCGCTTGCAGCTGAGACACTTCAATCGAGAGTCCTAAAGGTAACATGAGCGAGGATATAACTCGGCCGCAAGCAACCTCGGCTTCATCCTCTCAATGGATGAAAATAGAACATGGGGATATTGCCATATAACCAACTGGTGTGTATAAGACAGCTAAGACACAGTTTTGCTCTTCTTCAAGCACTTAGCCTAGCTTGCTTGCTGCAAAGACGTTTAATCCAAACTCTTAAAGGCAAGGTGATTGAGGAAATGCCTCGAGCGCAAGTCACCTCAGCTTTATTCTCTCAATTTTTGACTTTCTGCTGGTCATTAAACCGTTTGCCGAGGTCACTTGCAGCTGAGGTGCTATAATCTAGACTTGTAAAGGCAACACAATCGAAGAAAAAGCCTCGGCAACAAGCTTTATTCTCTCAATTAACAAACCTTTAACGTGAAAAAATATTGACGAAATTAAAAAGAAATTATTAATATTTCTTTCACCAACTAATTTTTTAATACAATGTTATGTTATAATCAAACAAATAAAATAAAATAGTCTACAAACACCAAAACTAATTATTGAAACGCAAATTGAATCAGATGCGATTTAATCTTTCTACCACGAAGTTTATTAAAAATTCAATTAAAACACTGTTACATAAAATTACTACTTTCTTAAGCTAAATGTGAGAACAAAGCGCAATATAATTGAAAACAAATTCAACTTCATATTGTAGAAAATATAATTTCATAGAAATCCGTATGTATAAACTTATGCCGTTGAAATTAAATGATAAATCGTGCCGTAAATTTAATTATTAAGTTTTTTACAAAGCAGCTTTTAAAATAACCATGTTACATCCAATAGTATATAAATATATTCCACTCATTTCCTTGTATTTAACTTGAATTCATACTCTTTATTTCATACCAACGACACGACTTTGGTTTTACACGATGCAGATAACGGATCTTCAATGTGAAAGCTTCAAGCTTTGCTTACACCGCCAGATTTTTTACTTTTAATTCGGAAACAGTTACTATTCTTTATATTTCAGACTTTTTAAATGAGACAATATAAGTGCACGAAACAGAAGGAGGATATTGCAATAACGTTTCCAACTCGTTATTGAAAGGAATGCTTCACATGGACGTAACCTGAATATTGGATCGAACTTACAGGTGTCGTGAAAAGGAATTACGTGATTTGGAACGTGATTTTGGCGGACCAGCTCAGCGCAGCTAGACACCCACGCTGCCGTCAGCCGTAGTGCAAACTGTCCGGAAAAGCTCACGGAGTGATCGATTGCAATTTAAACTGAGCCGCACCACTTGCCTGGATGAATTAGGAGAGGTTTGCCCGTTTACAAAGCCGGCACCGGGGATCGTAACTTTAACCAGTAATGGCTTATGAAAAGGCTGGGAGGCCGATCCCAACCACGCATACGCTTCAAATTTAACTTCCTCATAAAAGGTGATCACCCTCTTCAGGAATTTGCTTCCGGAAGGAAAGATGAATAATAAAATAACTGTGTCGCCGAAAGTGCAACATTATGTAGATGAAATTTCTGGTTGTTCGTCACGGGAACGTGTGTTCGTCGGAGTTGAAAAGTAAGACCCGTTCCATGGGGTTTTACGAAACCCCCACTGGATAACTTCAGTTTCATTACCTCCGACCTAGACGAGCCAACTAAATCGGCGAAGACAAATTCTGTCGTCCCTGAGGCAAGATTAAATCGTCTCCCTCAAGAAATTCGGATCTACGATGATGCCGTCCGCGAAGGTACTTTTCACGTAGTTAAGACGGAGTTAATTGTTGAATTTCACCTGAAGGGACGACTAATTAAGTCGATCCACTTGGCACTTCATTTGTTTCGTTAATTATATTCTACCAAACTATTAATCTCAATTTAAGTGGCACTTAAAAAATATAAGATTTAAATTTAAGGTATAATATTGTATCATTGTATTAAAAGAACTGAAGGTATCTTTTGAATTGGTACGATATCGAGCCAACGGGCGGATTTATTGTTGAGATACCGTCATCATTTACTTTCC